CAAAATATTTAAACTAACCAAGCATATTGTTCTCTAGAAGCTTTCGATTTTTGGAAGATATGCAATATGTCATCAAAACATACAGTTTTTTTAACATTTTTGGTTACGAAAAAAGGTGCGAACTTATCCGACAACCCGATATATTAAAGTCTCTTACCTCAGAATTGTTGGAAGTGAGGGTAATTTTACATGTAAGCATGAGTAAACTCATAGATTTCATCACTTTTTCGCTGTTTATACTCATGGCTTCAAACTTTACAGTTTCTTAGTAGGTTTTATAAGCTCAAGAAAAATAGTTGAAGAGTGAAATTGTGCGCTCTGTGCCCTAAACTACAGGCTGGCAATAGCTGCCTTTCATATAATCCTCCGCCCCAGGATACATAGACCATGCTCTATGTTGCACTGAGAGTGCAGATTAACGATTATTGCATTAGCTTATCTGATTGACCTTAGTTACTTCTGTGTATTTTCAGCTAAGAAAAAGGCCAGAAGTAGATATCTTTTTCCTAAAATTTGGTCTATGCAGATGACGAATGGGAGCGTAAGAGTTTTAAAAGCCATATTTACTTGCTCACGCCTTCTTGTATTCCTATATGTATATTTTTATCATTTGAAACACTTTATGACTGCACTATACAAGGTGTATAACACACGAACTAACATTCTGAGAGGTAGATAGACTCGCAGCTCTTATAAGCTTCTAACAAAAGTTGGCATTCGCAAATATACTTACAGCAATCTTTGCTCGAAGCATATTACGAAGCATATCATTTCCAGGTTCTTCAACAAGTAGGCGCGCCTGTCCATTCCTATCCATTGCTTTTACCATAGAGGTAGTTAGCTGTAAACATTAGTTTGTGTACAACAAACAATACATTAATTGAATTTCCAAAGCAAGTTCTAAAAGAACGTACTTGAGGTATGGACGTAACTAATTCTCCTTCAACGTCGACTATGCATTCTCCAATGAGCAACGACATTGATGCTATGCTGTCCGGCATGATGTTTGCTACGTAAACCTGTAAGTTCTGTGGGAGCTTCAGGGTGAAATTGCTAGCTTACATTGTTATGCGTTGAGCGTTTGACTTATTCTAATCCCAAAAGCTATAGCGACGTAAGCTCAGCAACATTGCTCGAAAGAGTGCACAAAGTGTCATTTGTATAGGTGAAATATGTGAGAGGCAACAAGGGACTTCCCTTCTAACATCACGTACGTAAGCCGCAACGTATGACAAGCGCAGTTTGCGCTGGACTCAGGTGCCTTTCTTCATCCCACACCTCATGACGCGCGAACGGGACTCCGTGCTAACGCCTCAACATGGGCTCTTGTTAGAAGGTTGTGAGGATATTATGAAGTTGCCGATATTGTAACAGGCGCTAGATTTAGCGCACGGAAGCTGATTAGCTCAACCCATTTTCTAAGCTCCTATGGGCATGACTCACGCTTGTTGTGACAAATTTGGGGAAATCACTACCCAAAACAGCTGAACTCGGTGCTAATTCTTGTGCAATTCAATAAGTTAATCCATAATCGAAAACGAAACAATTCGTTGATTTTATAATGTTGGGACCTTCGCGCCACAGAGGGAAGAGAAATGTACAGTAAAAACCTATGAAAAGGAGCATTACAAGCCTTGGTAGCGCGTACGGTTATATGGTGAGACGCGCGCGCTTTTTTTTTGGAGATTATTTGTTTGTCTGGAAATCGCAATAGTTATTACACATTTTATACTAAATTTCGAGTTTAAGTGCTAAGGTATCTCTGTTATCTCAGAATTAGCTTAAACCTCGAGCTTTTATGATGAAGCTTAAGCCGCTCTTTAGGGCTGAAGAATTTTCAATGACCTTATTTTTACAATAGATATCAGGGAATACTTCCAAAAAAACTTCAATTTGTCCACGTTCATACCTTTCTATCAATAAGACGAACATCCAATCCTAGTGCCATTCCTCTCATGAGGTATAACATAGTCCATTCATATTCAAAACCTTCAACAGGTTGATAACCTTTTGGAAGGATAGGTTTTATAGTAGGTCGACGTTTGAACCTAATCACTTGTACAATGAACTGAAATCCCAAAAATACAAAAATTTCTGATGTCGGAAATTCTGTGTACCTTTCCGCCAAACTGATTCATCTTCGAAAGGATGCTTTTGTTTTTATTAGGATCTTCCGAAAATATTTGTCTGTTGATGGAGTAAAGTATATCTCCTGACTGAAGAATTCCGAGACAAGGACTATCCCATTTTATGCTAATTACTGTGTCTTTCTTGATTATGAGGCCAAGCTGAAAATTGTTATTCCATTGCGCCAAGAAAAAAA